TTAGCATTTACTAGATTGGGGGGTGGTCTGATATATATAAAATGGTTACGGCGTGACGTAACAATGTGTGTGTAGACAATGAGTAATTGATCTGCAGTCAGAGAGTATTATTAAAGTTGAGCACGTTCGTTGTTATAGCGTTTGTTTTAGCGCGATTGTTGAAATTAAGTGTATCGTAAAGTTATATTCGGAACGAATAAACCAGTTTTATTAAGTAAGAACTTGTGTCGCTAAAGTTTCGTCGGAACGAATTTACGGGAAATCAATTAGCATACGGAGACGTAACAATATACGTACCAGGGCTCAATTTTAAGGAAATTTCCAGGTTGTCAAAAAATAAATAAATATATAGACCCCCCAAAAAACAGCCAATTACAACAATGTTGATGTACAAAGACCCAGTTACAAGAATTTTGATGCTTTTATATCTCATTTATTTCCAAAAAGTACAAATAATGTTTAGTTGGCAATTTTGCATCTTCACTCAACTAATTTTTGATGCCTTATTTCCCAGGAAGTTTAACTATATTTGAAAAAATCAGCCCAAACCATATTAATGTTACATAGTATCTTAAGGAAACAAACAATCAAATGAATAACCTGTAAAATTTGTAAACAAAACAGAGATCTTTGCCAATCACATTCAATGTTTTTATTCTAATCAGCTCTGCCTGCCCGCCAAGTACAGCCAAGTACGACTAGACTTGCATCGGAACTCTCACACGTTACTGTAATATGTACACACACCACTGATATGTACTGTTATTCACACTCTTAGTTTGTATTAACATGGAGAGAGGCAAAGCTAGCCTTATTTTATTTATTATTATTCTGTTTGATACTGATCAAAACTTTCATAAAAGTTTGTTTGTAGTTATCATTATTATGTTAAGTTTAATTTGTGGATTTTCCCACTTTTTTCATGGAAGCTAAGCCTTCTGTATTTCCTAGACTCGATTGGTCGTGTCTGTCTAATGTTAGCCTTAGTCCTATACGTGCGTAATCATAAGGGGGTCAGTGTTCCAACTGTGATGCTTAACAATGAAAATTCTTGAGTTTAATTTTGTAAATCCAATCGTTTTAATTCTTACCAAAAGTTTATCAGTAATAATCAGAGACAGCCATGTTAGTTTTATTGTCATAAGCATCTATATTAGAAATTAATCTCACTCAATATTCATGTTATCAGCATTCGTTTTTGTTGCCCGCCCATACTAACATTGCACATTATGTGTGGTAATGTAACTGAGCTGTATATACTGTACTGTGTTACCACACATGGCCATTCACGCTCAGTTGAACTCCATACAAAATGTATGTGCATAAAGCAGCACATAGGCATAGCTTGTCCATGATAGAAAGTTAAATGACAAACAGCATTGTTATCCAATCACAAAAGCAAACTTTTCCTAACATTTTCACCCCCTTTTGGTGGATTGTACCAACACTTCTCTTGTACAAAGTACAATCTTTTTCAACAAAAAATGGACTAAAAGATATTTTTGTGGGAGTTCAAATTTTGGAGTTCTTAGTTAGGGAATATACCAATGATTTTGGTTGAGGATCAGAGTCAACATTACATGTGTAGTGTGGGCATGGATAAGTGTACAGTAGACTGTGATGCTGTTTTGAGTAAGGATCTGTTCCAGGGTACTAGTCGTCCATTAGACAACACGGGTTTAAGCTGGTCGTCCGAGGAAGTTTTTAGTTGTCTTGGATGACAATTAAAATCGAGCCATGCACACACACACACATAGAATCAGGTGAGAAACATGCTTAATTATACCTTATAAACTTCCTTGTACATGGCTTCATCAGGGTTAATATACATAACCCTGATGAAGCTGCAAAGGCAAAACCTTGGTTGAAATAAAAATATATTCTTTTATATTTATCTGGAGTGTAAAGGTAATTTTTTCTAAACTTTTATCAAAATGTCTAAATCCCTCCAGTGTACACTACAAATTTTGAAAGACAACTTGTAAGAACTAGTTGTGAGTAAAACAGTGATACTGTAAGATGAAAATTCATAAAAACATTCATGTTCATTACTGCAAAGCACTAATTTTCAAGAATTATTATAAAATCTTGACATATCAACAGTATTGCTTGTAACACTATTATCTGTTTAGGATCAGTAATTTTTATAAAACGAGCCATCTCTCCACCTACTGAAAAAGCAATCAACCCAAACTAAGGGTAAGCTCTGCATGACAGTATGCTATCCAACATAGTTCGGATAAACTTAAAGCTATGGATGCAAGGCTAAGAAACGTTTTGTTTATTTGAGGCATTATGGGATGTGTTTTAGTGGTTACATGACATAGGTGTTTAAGTTTCCAAACCTTACATCTATTACCCATAAAAAGTATCTTTTCCAACCTTATTATTCCACCACTTAAACAAACCACAAAAAATTCCAAGACACCAATAACTTGTAACATCTGAATCAAGTCACCTCTAGTTAGTTATTCTACCCTACTATATGCCTTTCTTCCAAGCCCAATGTTTTGCAATTCAGTATCATTCTACAAGCTACCTCTGCACTTTATCCAGTGCATCCTTCCTACGATAGAAGAACAAGTTACTGTAATATAATATTCATCAAAAGCTATCTGAAAATAAAGAAACAGCATCAACTGTAAAGCACTGGTGACCTCATTCACAAAGGATGAAAATTTCCCCAAAAAGCTGTGGTGAAATTCCTATCTAAAACCACGCTGCCTCCACACCACCTCCTTTGCCCATAGCATGGTGCCCTTGATTTCATTAAACCTATAACAGAACTTTTTTTTTTGTCAACACACATCCCTGAATTCTCTATCAAACATTTTTTTATAAACAAATGTATTGTTAAGAGGTTTAAATGCACTACATTTGAGAAACAACTTGCTGCAAAACAAAGGATCATTCTTAAATGTTATTGTCACACACATTTAGATTATAATTCATAATGGAAAAAAAAAAAACATAAATCTTGTATTTCAGTCTCATATTTTTAAAAGATGCAGTTTGTTTAAACATTTACATTATTTGTTTTATGGTTAATATTATGCTTCATGATAGTGAAGTTTTTTCTTAAATTTAATTTTACTTTTTATTGGTATAAAACCAATACTCATTTTATTACAAAGACGTTTTTATCAGTTAAAAGTCATTTGCCTTTTGTAAAGCAGCATCTTCCCCACAGCCAGTAACACCAAAGACCTTAATATCAGCAAATTTATGTAATTAACTGATCAATTCTTCATCTATTTCATTATTGTAATCAAAAAAAGCAACGGTCCTAACAGTGAAGTACTCTGGTCATTACAATGGTGGCCAGAAAAATAAGACACAAATTTATTTAATACCAAAACACAATGAGTAGTAGAACAAAAAACATTTTTAAGTTATTTATTGCAATAATAGCATGATATGTAACATTATATGAAATGTATGAGACATAAACATATTAATAACACAGCTTATATATCATGGCATTATATGTATATTCAATGATACAGTCTGTTAACTTGACAAGTATATTTATATGTAATACAGAGTCAGGTGCACTTTTCAGGCATATATGAGGTCAATCATCAAATGTATGAATGGAATAATTCAACTTCTATGAACTCAAATAATCATAAACATAAATTTTCAAATTTTGGGCTTTTTTCCTACATTAATACAGTTTGACTTGATTACATTTACAACAATACTCTGCTTTCTTCTATCCAATGAGCTAGCTTATCCAACCACACCCATACAGATAATGTTTTTAAAAGCCTTTAATGTGGCTCCTTGTCAAATACTTTCTGAAAATCCAGATACACCAAACCACACCCTTACTTACATAAGCAGGAAAGAATGTCAAAAGATTAGTAGGGCCAGATTTTCCCTCAGTGAAACCATGCTGGCTATCCAACAAAATTTTAAACTTTGTTAAACAAGTTTGCAAAGCATCTTTTATCACATTTTCAAAAAACTTTTCCAAACATTAATGGGGACTAATAGGCCTATAATACCTGGACATTTTTTACCATCTCCCTTTGAAAGAGGAGTAATTTTATACAACTTCCATTCTTCTGGAACTTACCACCAATTCAACTGGCTCGCATATCTAATCCTTAAACTCCTTGAAAACTCTTGAGGAAATATTATCCTGCTCATGAACCTTAGCATTCTTTAAACTTCCCAATTTTTTCTTAACAAGCTCTGAATTAATGTGATCATGTTGTAACTGTTCAATATCATTTGAGTGTTAAAGTTTTATGTTTAGCTGCTTCACTTCCGGTAGATTTCCTTTTTTTTTAATAATATGCATGTTCTTGATAAAATTAAAACAATCAAAGTTAGTTTTTAGTAATTAAATTTAATTATCTTACATTTTTCTCCAAAGTTAATAATCATTCTTTCAGGTTTATAAATGGTTGTTCAACTTTGGAACAGATGTTACATAAAAGGGGTAATATCTACTACATAGAAAAGTCAAGCAGACACTTCATTATAGATGTATGCTTCACTCAGCATCCCCAGAAGTCTTGAAAAATCACTTCTCCACTCTGGGTCGATCTTTACACATACATTCTTCTAAGTGATATAAATAAATTACAGTACAACAAGGTTACCACCTCTCCATAAAATCATTGCCCTTACATTATAAATGGTTTTATTTAGTACAAAAGAAACTAAAAAAATAAATCGGAATTCAAAGTTATGGTTATATTTCAGTTTAAAAAAATGAAATAGTACGTACAAGAATGTAATCTTTTACTTAAAAATGGTAAACAGCATCCCATAACAGTGAAATGTATTGTTTTATTGATACAAATAAGCAATAAAGTTTTACAAAGGTTTTACACTGATTACATAATGTTTATGCAAACAAATTTGTGTAATATTATTTTTATCCATCTTTATTCTTACACACATCTTCATAAAATTCTATCAAAAAAAGGGAGTTTAAAGACGTATTTATTTTGCAGTTGTGATTACATGTTTTATCCTTCAAAGGATTACTAGTAATGCTACAAAAACACCTAACAACAACATGAAAGGTGCTGAAATATTAAAACCAATCAATATATGATAAACAATGGCTGGATATACAAATGCTCTTTAAAATTACTGCAAGTGAAAAATTAGCCAAAAGAAAAAAAAAAAAAGACTTAAATTAGACAAAGCTTGGAAATGCAATACCACCCTCCATTAGGCATTTAAAAGATGTTTTTTTCTGAATATACATTCATTTAAATTTTCAGTTTTTTTTTAAAATATCTTAATCAAGCAAAATGGATTAATTTTGTATAAAACTGCAAAATCGATAAACTTCTCATTAGCAAAAAATATCTTGTATACCTTAAGATTATCTAAGCCTTAAACTACTGAATATATTCTTTTTTCAACTATCCTTCAATTACTTTTTCAGTTTTTGAGCCTTCTATTTTTTATTTTATAATCTTGAAAGAAAAACAAAACAATTATAACACTTCTGAGAAGTATTTCTATTTCAATACTTGACCATTAGTTTCTGTGTCATAACTGTTAAATAAGTTTACTACACCTTAGAATGTTACACATACATTCATTTGCAAAACTTATCAGACTTCATTTTGGCTCTCCTATCAAGCAGAACTTCATGCAGATTCCCCTGGAGCTTAGCTTTTTTGACGACCGATTTGTCTTCTTTACTTATTCGCAGTTTCCTATCCTGAAAACTCTGAAACTTTTTTACATAGCTGATTTCACATTCAGTGACATTTCCTTTTTCTTCTTCCGGAACATCATCCTTTTCTGATTTAACTCTTTGTGAAACTGACCTCAACTTCAAGATTTCTCTTTCATGAGCTGTTTTGCTAATGGCAACAATATTTCCCTCATCATTCCAAGATAGAAAACAGTCGTTGCAGCCAAGTAAAGCTAATTTGCCATCTTGAAAAACAGGTTCCCACTGTTCCATCCCTCCAATGGCATCTGAACGTCCAATCACTACACCAGTGGTTCCTACTCTTAAGTACTTTCCATAACCAGACTTTAAGGCTATCTTTGTATCTGATAATCTAACTGCTGTCAAAATTTCTTCTGGTGAAGGGCCTTCTCCACGTAAATGAGGTTCTCCCAATATAAAAAGTCCATTATCAACAGCTTTTACATAACAATAAGGTGCCATCTCAATAGCAATTGATCCACTGATATCATTTAAACTGCTTATGGCCCACCATCCTCCATGTGTAATTTCATCCTCATCAATCGCAGGTTTTTCTGTCCCATCTCTTTGTCTTTTTCGATGTTTGTCTTTCTTTTTCTTTTTACTTTTTTTTCACCTTTTAATAACAGCTTTCCACTTCGAACATCTGAATATTCAGACATGTTATAATATTAATAATGACAATTTCTAATCCAAGAAAAGGTGAATTAAATTGTAAAATTGATATGTTGTATTATTATAACAAAAGTATTATTACTAATGACACTACTACTTCTGAATATATAAGCACAAATTATACAGTAAGTCTAAACGGCGCTTAATAAACTCTACAATACAGTACATCTTAGTAGAGCGGTAATGGAAACTCTATACAATACTAGCGCCATCTTGTGTAGATGTTGCTTTGAATCAACGGCGATTTGAAAATAAATTGTCAATAAAAAAACACTAGGAAATAAAACATAATTAAATTTTGCTAGTATTCCACGTTCTATCGTTAGGCCTTTATATTTTTGGATTATTTGGTAAACATAATGTTAAATTCAACCTACGTAACAATAACAGATTTACTTCGTTAACGTTTCCTACATCGCTTTCTCCTGTAGGCCTAACCTCAAATACAAAATTTTTCAACAGACGCTACTGTGGGCCTAAAACACCGGTAATTCTTAACAAAAATTTCCTTTATTAATAGTAAGTACGACTAACTCACATATAAGCTTACAAAATTTCCTCGCTAATCGTTCAAATACCTGAATAGGCATGATAAATCTCACTGAAATTTAAGAATGGGGTAAACAATCGCCAAATTTTTATGTTTATATTTTACAAAGATGACGTTTCAAGATAACGCTCTTCGATCTGGTAATGGTATGATAACATACTGCACAACTGAGCAACAGTTGACTGATTGTTTTCCAAATCTCCTGATGTTTTAACAAGAAGTACAACTCCCAGTAGCCTTGGTGCTCTACCCAGCACAAAGGTACCTTGGTTTCCACATAATTATGTGAAATGGCTGTATTCTGCAATAACTGATACTCATGAGTTCTCACCACAGCAGATTGGCAAAGTAACCGTGCATATATCAAAAGAGGTGCTACGATAGGCCAGTAGTGAACAAACGTTCAAGCCTAGTGATTGGATATGGTTGTAGTATATGCCCACAGCATAGAAAAAACACCGTTTTGGTTAGACTGGTCCATGTCTGACCTGTTAATAGTTCGATGACGTGAATTACTAGTTACAATGATCATGTGGTGCACGTACACCCATCAAACACATCGACAATCTGAAACTATAGCACTAATGAAGTCCTAGAAATACCGATTATTAAATCAACAATTGCAAAGGTATCGTGACCCGTACTTTCTGGGCTATCGAGCAATGTGTAGTAACAAGTTAATGTTCTCATATTTTGCAATAATTGCTCAATCTATACTATCTAGTTGAGTTTCAGCTGAATGTCTGAGAAGCAGTCTGCGGTAAACGCATTAGTGTAATACGGACTAACTATGTGTTTTATACTTCTTTTGTTTATGTGTAAACATTTTTAAACTATTGTATTTTTCGATGTTCTCAGTAAGTGTTAAAACATAATTTTTGTACAGATTGCATGAATGAAATTTTGGATTTGTTTGCGATGTTAGAAATGGTTTTACTTACTTACTCAGATTATATATTGTTACGTCTCTGGTCGTTTGTTAATTTCCCGTATAATTTCTTTCGGGTGAAACTTTAGCGATACAAGTCCTTTCTTAAATAAAACTAGTTTATTCTTTCTCAATACAACTTTGCAATACACTTAATTTCCACAGTCATTTTAAATTAAACACACGCTATAATTCACAACGATTCACGCACTTTACTTCGGTCACTACTGCTCACTTGACTCGATTAACTATGTCTATTATCTCCAATCTCTCTATCTGCTACTCCAGTTCCGATTGATTCTCTCGCTTTATTTGCCGCGCTTATATACAATAAGAGCGCGCGTCTAGCAAATGCTAGGACGTTCGACAGGTTCCTCGATCTTTCTAGAACTCCAGCGCAAGGTCCCAACGTCGCGCGAATTCCGCTGTCGTAACAATATAATTTGTGTTATAATGCTTGAACATAAATGTCACGAGACCTTCTGAGTTAGAAGCACTGTTCGCTGTTTGTCAAGTAGTAGGCCTCATTCCAGTTACTGTGAGAGAGCTGAATTTGCTGACATGTGGCTATTACCATCGGCCTGCTCATTATTCTATAAGAGGCTATGAATGTTTACTAGTGATTAGGAAAATGTGTTCTGTCGTTATAATGGTGAATGAATGCATCATGAAAAACGTGAAACACGGCATGCGTGATAGTAAACTGACAACTATTTATAAGCATGATGAAAGAGTTTATTTTGGGGAGAACATATTACATGTTTCGACAAAACATTGACCTGTCTTCTCCTGGTGTCATACTATGATCATACCAAAAGAAGATAGACCAATGTTTTGTCGAAACATTCAGTATGCTTCCTCCAAAGTAAACCATTTCATTATGCTTATAAATCGTCGTGTGTCAGTTTACTATTATATGAGTATAATGTGCTTCTATACACAGTATGTTTACTAAAACATCTAGTCTGGGTCGTGTTTGGTTGGTTCGTGACCTGGGAGGTCAGTTACAATTTAGACCTATTTCTCCCTACTTAACGATTTAAAAAAATTAATACTGACAAATGCTATAAGAACTCTACGAAACCAGGATTTGAACATTAAATTAAAACACTGATTCGTGTTCCTTCTTCAGGGCCATGTCTATAAATGTCTTACTATAGAATTTAGTGTTATTCATCACTTCATTTTATTTGATTGCATTATAGTCCACAAACAAATCACTAGTAAACGACACTTTTCACAATATTAAGTTATACAATGCATGTTTAACATAAATACCCTATAATACACTTACTATACCATAATCTGGTGAAGTTATAGAGTCTATCATAGGAGGCCTATTATTTCTGATCATTATTTGGTGTTTTATACTGTAAATGTAAACATGAGTTTCTGTACTATGTATAGTATAATATTGTTGCGTCAGCGAGGTCACGTGACTAGTATCATGCCACCCATTTTCTAGAAATATCCTGTTCCTTCAAGAATGCCCTAGCATTTACTAGATATGTGTTAGTCTGGTATAGATAAGATGGTCACAACGTGACGGAGAACAGTGTAATGAGTAATTGAATGTATGCGGACAAAATATTGTTTGTGTGACAGGACATTCTACAAGATTGTGGTGACCAGTGTGGGTAACTATTGAGCACATGGGCATAATGGACAGGCAGA